GTACTCTGAGTAATTTGACGGCTTTCATCAAGCTGTTCAATTGTCTAGAAAACTTTATATCCTCTAGCCTTCGTCGGTCACCGACATCATCACTAGGAAAAGAAAAAAAAAAATCTTCTGATGATTTTGGTGAAGCTAGAGAAAATAAAAAATTTCGTTGACATTTCAAAGCTTCTTCGCCGCTCGAGATAGTAAACTGTCGACTCCTGGATGGACAGAATGCCACGTCGATTGTATACTAGCTATGCCGAGCCGAAGAAGGTTTAAATGTCAACGAAATTTGGTCAAGAGGAAGACTAGCAGACCCTAAATACAGTAAAGTATTTTTGATTAGACTAGATTTAAATTCTCCCGCAATTTTGACTCCCGGACATCTAAAAGGTTTCTGTCCAGAGACGTGAAAATCCTAAGTGCCGCGTCGACTGTATACTATGCCGAGCGCCGAAGAAGCTTTAAATGTCAACGAAATTTGGTCAAAAGGAAGACTACCTGACCCTATATACAGTAAAGTATTTTTGATTAGATTAGATTTAAATTCTCCCGCAATTTTGACTCCCGGACATCTAAGGTTTCTGTCCACTGAGAGACGTGAAAATCCTAAGTGCCACGTCGACTGTATACTATGCTGAGCGATGAAGAAGCTTTAAAATGTCAACGAAATTTGGTCAAAAGGAAGACTACCTGACCCTAAATACAGTAAAGTATATTTGATTAGACTAGATTTAAATTCTCCCGCAATTTTGACTCCCGGACATCTAAGGTTTCTGTCCGGGAGGTCTGTCCAGAGACGTGAAAATCCGCCACGTCGACTGTATACTGTGCTGAGCGATGATGAAGCTTTGAATTGTCAACGAAATTTGGTAAAAAGGAAGACTATCTGAACCTAAATACAGTAAAGTATCTTTAATTATTTTGACTCCCTGATGCGACTGAAGGACAACTGTTTTTTTCAAATCATCACAGGAAAAGGTGTACAGTTCTTATATCAGACAGAAATTACTAGAGGTCTTACTAGTATTCGGATGATGAGTCAACTCCAACATTACACTCGAACGTTCTCATTTTCGTTCTTGATAATGTAAAAGTTTAAAATAATATAAACATTTAATCGAAGAAAACGTTCGGGAATTTATCATGAGTGACTATATCCCAAAGCCATCATTTGGGATCCCTGTGTTCAAAGAGGAGGGCTGAAGTTTTGTAATTAATTTACAAACTTTAAGTCACTGAATAGTTTGATGATTATTTAATGCGCCTTAATTCAGCAGTCTAGTTCTATACAACTTTTTATTATTTCGTAGCATGGTAGAATAATGGATTTTCATCAGGAGTGGTGTAGGGTCCCGAGGAGGCGACGAACCCACGAAAATGGCTTCCAATAGCTGGATCCTCGAAAGTCTATAAATCTATAATATAACCCTTAAGTTATTACATACGTAGCAATCAATTCTAAATGTTAAAACGCTCTATACATTGATCTATGAGCCCTTGATGACATCAAACATAGTGGTCAGTGGATRTTCCTTGTAATAGTCACATGACCTGTGCACTTCAGTTTGATTTCTCTCCTCACYCCCTGGCTCCAGCCAGCGACATAGGTTGTCTTATCCAAAACTAAGCCTGTTTTTGATTGGTCATTGAAGTTGGTAGCCTGACCAATCAAAATGAACTTCTTTTTGCGGGGAATTCTTGGGCATGCGCAGTCTTTCCTTGGAGCGTGAATTGACGAGGGGTCATAGGGTACGCTGATTACCATACGACCCTCTMTGATTTTATGGGTTGTGTTTTTCAGGACATGCTGAACATCGATAACGTATCGCTGCAGATTCTTTTTGTCGTCATTTGGCAGTCTTGATAACACTTTAGCGATTACAGCTGGAAAAGATATATCACGAACATRTAACGGCAAGCAATTCATTAGATGGCATAATGATGAAGAAAAGCTATCATGTATCTTGTCATTTGCACATCATTCCATTTTTTATCATCATCATCATAATTACCATCATCATCATCATCAACACAATGTTGTACAATTTTAGCTCGATAGTTTTATAAATTTCCAAGATGAGCAATAGCAATGATCAGATAAAGACAGGTGATAATACAGTTATCGCGTGATTTTACTCGTAAACCTACCCATAGTACTTTTCTTGCAAATCTTTGGCACCTCGACAATCGGGCAATGATGACATCGTGGACCTGTTTTAGAAATGAACTGATTCTATCATGTACTCCAAAGTGAAAGACGGGACTTTAAAGACCTTGACGGGACTTTAAAGGTCCTTGACGGGACTTTAAAGACCTTGACGGGACTTTAAAGACCTTGACGGGACTCTAAAGACCTTGGCGGGACTTTAAAGGTCCTTCATATGTTGACGGGACTCTAAAGACCTTGACGGGACTTTAAAGGTCCTTGACTCAGAGCGTAAAAACTACTTATTTCAGTTTCTAATTTACAAATGTGAAAATTACTCGTTTTGACCAGGAAAAGACTTACGCACTTTATCAAGTTTCCAAGGACTTTGGATAACCAGAATTCGTATGAATGAAGCGTTTTTGGATTTTTCTTTTTTTTACTTACGAGTACACGAAACATCCTTTCCCGTCCAGGTCTCATTGCTCAGGCACGTCCTATTCTGAGAGCCAATCATTTTGAATGTGTCTTGACAGGTATACGTGACATTCATACCAGGAATAAAYTCAGTCAAGCGGTCTTTTCTTAAACTGTTCGATGGACGACCGGGGTCTTGGCAGATTGCTGTAAGCATGAAAAMTTTATTATCACTTTATCATCAACGCTTTATTGGATTCAAATAGTATTTATTTTCTGGAATGATTATAAACCTCAAACAAGTAATAATCTAAAAATAGAAAAGAATTTAAAAAAGGAAGACTATTTTCTAATAATTTCATAGTCGACTTGAAAAAATCGCGCACTTGAAAGGTTGTAAATTTGATGTAAATATGATGTAGAGGCCGCGATGTTTTCCTGGTTGACGACGATGAAAAAATGCAATAATAATAACATCTATACTCACCACAAAATCGTGGCGGTTCTCGTGTCCGTATTTCCATTAGTCCTACCACACCTTTCTCCATCCAAGTACTACCATATCGAACAACGAAACGTTCACCTTTCATTGAAATAACGGTTGCGAACATGTACTTTCCAACGCGAGAGTTAAAGGCGAGCACGCTCGAGCCAATAAAGATTTCTTCCCTTAATGGGATTCGATCTTGTACAATGATGTAATGTTGTGTTCCTGGTCCTAATAGGATAATATCGTCCACCATGCCATCGTCGTACTGTACTTTGACAACATGTCCAGATTTCGATTGTACCATTCCATGTTTGAAGTAGAATTCGCCTCGTACAAAAACTGGGGTACCAACCTCTGAACACTCTACAACAATAGAAAAATTAATTTGTGTGATTGATTAATAGCCGACTTTAGATATTTTTGGTTCAGCGACTATGCACACTCAAAAGAATTACAGACGAGGCTCCGGGGAAATAAAAGAATAAATCAAGATTATCCATTGTTTTCCCGGAGGCTCGTGTGCGTTCTTTTGTACATAGTCATCGAACCAAATATCCCAAAGTTGACTTTAGTTCATCGTAGGTAATTTAGATCAGATCTTGGTGACAGTTGAATCCATTCATGCTGTACTGTACTTATCCATTTATTCAATTATTTATTTCACTCAGTAATTCAGTGCGAATTATTATCGCATATTTTTAGAGCTTCKCTTTCACAGYRAGACATAGTCTTCGGAAAGTCWGARTCTTTTATAAGTTTGCGCCGGTGAAGATTGGCACAAGACGAAAAYAGTCTYATCATCTCTGTCTTCCATGCGCTTCCYTCRCTTCCTTCTGGGTTTMTGAGRATGGCACRGTGCCTGTGGACGTACTTACTGAAGCAAATAGGGTCGGGTCCAGTCCACCTTCCATTGCGCAAACATTTTCTCATTCTTGGGCCAAACATTATAAAACCTGCGTGACACTTGTAACGCACTATACCACCTTCCTTTATGTAATTATCACCAGCAATCATCTTTCCATTTTCAGGCATCTCGAGCTTAGGGCAAAGGATTTCTGTACATGAAGAACAAAAAAACATGGATAAACGATTTGATRAATGGTTTATTACAAAAGGTAGTCAATATGTGCACAGAAAATACGTATTCCAAGTAATCGTTCCCTGGCTCTTTCCATTCATTTCTAGCTGCACTTCCGGACAGAGGTAGTAAGGACTGGGAAAGAAGTTTGTTTAAAACAATGACTGCCGTTGATCGCATTTTCATGTGGATTTTGTATCTGAGGAATGCCAATAAAAATGACTGTACCTGTACAATAAGGGACTTTTCCACGCCATTGGGCATCTTTACCACAAACCAGGAAATCTCCTCCAAGTCGTTTATAACCAGGAAGACAGGAGTATAAGACTTTGTTGCCATATACGAACTCACTGCTATGTCCATAGACAAGCAYACTGCTATTCTGTACTTCAGGAGGCTCTCCACATGAAACAGCTAAAAACATGAACAAAACATATCGAAAAGTCTCTCATTTTTGTAAAAAATAAATATAGTYAAAATATAKTCTTACGTTGGCAAACTGGTTGTGTATCACTCCATGTCTGGTTGTCAAGGCAACGTCGAGAGGAWGGCCCTAGCAACATGTAACCTTGGTTACACGTGAAGTGCACCGTGTCGAGGTAATTGAACTGGAGACCGAGCCTTCGACCATTTCGAGGAGTCCCGGGATCACCACAASTTTGAGCTATAAGGTAGCAAAAACTAGTTAGACTTCTACATCACATAAGTTAAGTAAGCCTAGTAATCTTTGAGGAACGTCTACACCGAGGCTGTACAATTCACTGAACTCATGAGACTTGTATACCTCTACACTGGATCTTCACTTCGGACCACTGGCCATYCTCTTTGCATATCATATCAAATGGTGGGGTTCCTGTTCTGAAATACCCTGGTTTACACCCCACCCTGACAGTCGATCCGACGGTTCTATTAGTCTCTATGACRTAACCATTGATGGGAGCCTGAGGCTTGTCACACATCGATGCTTGAATTATAAKAAATTTATATGAATGGATATAGTTCGTTGAGAGTTATGGAAAGATTACATAAATCACGCTCCATCCCACCTCCCCCCGACATGTAGTGTACTACTTTATACTTTAGTATATACACAGTATCAATAGCATCCGGTACGCTGATGTAATAAATCAACTGTCTTCTGTCAATCGCAATAAAAAGTTCCCGCTCTGAAATATTTGTAGCAATTATTGGATTAATATTATATCACTCCTATATAGAGCTTTGCGACCATGWACATGATGAATTGTGATTTGTAGACTATATTCCATCTACCATATATACAAATACAACGCCGGTGAAAGTATATTAATCTAAAAAGGGATGTTACTCACCTGGAATACGATCATTAAGCATTCCCAAACAAACAACGYCAAGAAAAACAAATAACAATAGAAATTTGGAAGAAAACATGTTCTTTGCCTTAGTTCACGCCGACTGGAAAGMACGACAACGCGAAGAATATAACCGTTCTATTTGTGTTGTTTGATAGCTTAAGGGAGTTCAGCCAACGAAGGTTTTAGAATGACCTTTTTCAATCAATGATCTGGCACTCAACAGATCATCTTGGACGCGTTCCATAAAATGCAAAGATTATGAGAATCAAAAGAACAAAAAACGRRGCTTGTTGAAATGAAAACTGCATAGTCCGTATTAGCTTTTTATTTGAAAAAGCTTGAATTTACAGATTAGCTTATATAGTCAGTTTATAAAGAGCTAAAGATCTAGATACATAAATCAAACTATATTGCGCAAATCCTCAAACGATTACTTGTTATGTATTCTGATATGTTTTTCTTCAAAAAAAAAATGGATCTAAACAACATGAGCTGAAATAAAATTGCGTGAAATCAGGAAATGACAGGTTATGTGTCTAAGCATGTCYCATCGTTCTAGACATCCTGTATTGCTACGACTAGGTACAAGGTGAGTCGAAATACTGCCTCTCGCATGCATTCACTACGGTCTTTGCATCATTAACGAGTTAGTCTTTGACCTACTTGACTGTAAAAAAGCTGGTTGGCAGCCAAGACCAGCAGGAACTCTCACCACTTAYGAAAATTAAGACAGRACACAAATATAAACTTCCTTTATCGGTAGGACTGTAAAGTCTTCCGGCGTTAGTAGTTAAAACAACGCTTTACTTGAATSAGAATTGAAGAAGCAGATACATATCAAAGCATGTCTTACACAAAGGTACGTACTATATGGTAATGAACGATGAGTACTTAAAACACGTTAAAAACAGCTGTAACTTGAAGGATTTATAATCGAGTATGTATGCCAATATTTSATTATTGCCCTTTGCCTGTCCTTTAAGTCTGAATAAATCACTGATTGAATTATTTACATTTAAATTTTTAATAAAATCATTATAACTGTTACTGAATGCGAAATTATTAAACATACAATTAAACTTCCCACTGGGGGAGAGGGGGGGGGGAGGGTTCGCAGTTTAGTCTCACCATCTCCCCCTATATACCCACCATAGGCCTGATAGGAAGCACTGACAAAGCCTACAATTTTTGGCGAAATTTTCTAAAAAGCACTTTTATAGGAAGATATATATACATATATATATAATATTCACAGGTATAACTTGTCAGTAGCTCATTAATCGATTTTTTTACCAACAGAGGTTCATAGTGATGTTGTACCTGTTGCAAACAGCTCAATCGGTGCCAGGTTAGCTTTTGTAGTTTATCCTACTCAATTAAATCTTAGTATGTATCTGTAGTCCGCAGCTTTAGTATTTTTAACTGTTTATTTAAAAAGAAATTGAATTTTTTTCTTTTCCTTTTTAGTGGTTAATCAGACTACATCAGGTAAATCAATTTTTTTAAAAGTTTGTTCCTCTTGTATCTTAATGTATATATCTCAGTTTTATTGACATATTGTTCAATATCAGTTCCAGTAAAAACCTACACCACTGCAATTCCAGGTACGTCCATGGAGATGAAAGCATTCGTCTCTGGTTTTATAATATATTTCTCTGCTCGGGTTGTAATTGAATGTGAAGACTGGGCCGGTGCATGTATCTTTTCTTCAAAGAAGTTATAAGTCCCAGTTTTCCCCTTTCATTTTAATTAGCTCACGAAAACCAAGAGAAACGAGATAAATAGTATAGCCGTCTGTTGAAAATGCGTTCACTATTAAATCTATAGCAGATTAGTGATTATATCTTTTTTCATTTATTTTGTTTTGATTTTCTTTTCTGAAGATAATTCAGTCACAAGTCAAACCACACAAGTCACATCCCAGACATCGCAGACCGCCTCGGAAGGTAATTATAATTTGAATTCAGCCATACATATAATTTGTACTAGCATGCAACTTATTTACTTTTTGCCTTTGTATATTTCAGCCATGACGAATACCACTACAACTCAACAAACATCCACAGGTAAACCATAAAGCTAGTTACATACATGCATTTTGAATCTGACTTTCAACGCCCACACAATCATCTTCAATACTCCAGTTTCGAATTGATAGCGAAAAACCGCTGCTTTATTTGACTACAGATTCTCGGCTTGCGCAAAGACCTGGCCAAAGAAAATTTCGTTTTTACAATAGCCTTAAAAATTAGCATTTTCCCCGAGTTGAGACTAACCCTGTATTCCCATAAGACTTAAGGTATGGGTCTTCTGGGAATACAGGGTTAGCMTCAACTCGGGTAAAATGTAAATTGTCAGCGCTATTGTACTTACAACATTTTCTCGTACTTTCTTTGTGTTTGGCAAGGTCTTTGCGTAGGAGAATCTGCTGTCAAATAAAACAGCGGTTGGTCACTTAGAATTCGAAAATGGAGTATTTATTTATTTACTTTTAGTTGCAGATCCCACTACAAAATCTGTACAAGGTAAAAAAATTAAGTAATCTGAACAAGTACAAAATCAGTACAAATGATATTTCACAGATATATTGTTTGCACCATGACAATATTAGTGTGCTTTATATACTTATTAAATATAGTCTATTAGTACTGTTATTATATTTTATATAATTATCTATGAAATACCTATTTCTCCATTTCGTAAAGTTGATATTTTCACTAGTGAAAATAACGCATTCGAGGTTTCTCTATATAGTGGAATAAAAAATGGTATTTTACGGCATAATTTACTTTCATATGTAATTATATGATAAACAGAATATAAGTGGTCGCTTGGAGATATATTTTATCTTAAAACCCATAAAAACCCATATCTCCGCGCGCCCATGTAATATCCTCTGTATATTGATGCGTCTGTCATTTTATCTTGTAATATAGTTACCGTGAAGCCATCTACCAAAGGTATCGTATTGTGACAACTCATTTTTTCATCTCTGCTAATATTTTGCTCACTTTATGCCAACATATAGTTGCCACTTTAACAAGATGTTGCTATTTTATAAATCTACCATAACCATTTTCTCCAGCTTCCAGGCCAACTTGTGGGAAGATTTTACGTAAACTACAGAGAAACCCACCACTGCATACAAAGATCACCAGGCCAGGCAAACGGAAAGTCCGATATCAATGTAATGTTGGTACGAAAATGGACAACGGAAAAAAACAAGCTACAAGAAAGTGCATCAATGGACGAATCATTGGAAAAAGTGTCAAATGCAAACGTAAATAATAGTATAATTTCGCTGCTTCGCTTTTTTTACTTTTCTCTTTGTTTCGTCTACTCCTGTGCTTTGTCAAATAACAGTAAATCTAAACCACAGCAATTTCCCCTTGCAGCCATTGTTTGTGGCAAGCCCCCACCAGTCCCACATGCGACGTACAGAGGAAAAAACTTTACCTTCATGGGTAGGGTGGTGTATAGGTGTAACAAAGAATACAAGATGGAGGGAAGGTCATGGAGAAGTTGCAAATTCAATGGAAAATGGACAAAGAAACCACGATGTACTAGTAAGTAGCTTTTCCAATGCAATGGATTGATATATAAGGTATATATAGCGATGACTTGTTATCAAACAAACATAAGTCTAACGTTCTCTTTAGGTACAAGATGTCCATTGAAGAAGTTACCCAGAATTSCTCATGGCACAGTAAACACCACWGACCCTRAATTTAAACAMGGCACTACATTGTTGTTCTCCTGTAACCATGGTTATGAATTGGCGAGAAATGATAAAKCAATAGARTGTAATGAAGGAAAATGGACCCGTCCACTGAGATACATTCCATATTGCAAAGGTATGGGCCCAGTATGGACAAAATTGAAAACTGTGTAGTTGTTGCTCGCTCTCAATATCCTGCGCCATATTGAAATGTAACCACTCCTTTGCATCAAAGCGAGGCGAACTGTGAGATCAGTTCCATGATAGATACCTCTGAATAATTGTCTGTGGGTAGGAAAGAAGGYTGCATCTGTAAGCTCGTCTCGCTTTCAAGATGGAGTAGAGAAACGTGAWGGAAACTCAGTATTCTGTAATTAAATCGATGGTTACTCAAGATTTTTGAATTYWGTCACCGWTTTTCACACTAACATGWCTMAAAAYGTGAGTAATTCATGGAAATCAGAAATAAAAGTTGTAAAAATGAGACAATTTGCATATTTAACCCTTCTATTTTAAGTAGAAATCGTATTAGAAATTCTTAATAAACTTAATTTTCGCTTTGATTCCAGCGATTAAGTGTCCAGAYCCAACCAAATACCATAAYAACGGTCGTTACAACGGTCKCAACTTCAGARTAAATGCCACTGTGGAATTTTTCTGTTATGCGGGACTCAAACTTCTTGGATCCAGGAAACGAACTTGTCAAGCAAACAAATTGTGGAGTGGAAGTACCACAGTGTGTGATACTGGGAGTAAGTTATCTAATCCATGTGGGATATGATTAGGGAACACATAAGCGCAAGCTATTACGCATGCCCCTGATCGAGAGGTGATACTTTTTTAAAGCGCAAATTTCAACAGGAGCGAATTAGATACTGAACCTGATTTCTTTCTTTTTTTTCTTTTTCTGCTTTTCATGAACGTGAYACTTCTGTTCGTAATAGATACGTATTGTCCAAATCCTGGAACACCAATCAGTGGCAAGAAGATCGGTCATCGATATAACTTCGGCTCAATCGTAAGGTTTAAGTGTGACGAAGGCTATGTTCTGATTGGTTCGTCTGTGCGACGATGTATGCCGAATAGACGTTGGAATGGGACTGAGACAGTTTGTATGGGTAAGACAGAAGCTGCTGTACTAGCTTTACATATCAGAATGATGCGGATGGTGAGCCCGGCAAAGGGGTAGTCTAGTCACATTTTTGGAATCATTTAGTCTAGTTACATTTTTGCTGGAGTCGTTTGGTGGAGTTATTTRGTGTTTTAGATTTTAATTCATCCTGATCTGTATTTTTTATTGTATGTTTGTTTTGCACTACTGCTTAGTTGTTCATTAGAGTGGTTTTCATAAACCCGTGCAACAAAGTGTATTATTATATAGATGATTTCTAACGCGCGCTCTGATTGGCCAAAAAAGTGTGGTTTATGAGAGTATAAACCACGATTGTGCGCGAGCGATTTTAGAAAACGGCAACAAAGTGGATTTTTTCTTAAGTTTTGCTCAAAATCTATATAATAAAACAAATAAATAAGTGTCAGYCTGTGGTTTATACTCTGATAAACGCACGCTTGGCATTTGAAACACACTCAAAAATGTCYAGAAGCACTCGCTTTCAGCTTTCAGCTCGTGCTTCTTGACATTTTCTCGTGTGTTTCAAATGCCAAGTGTGCGTTTATCAGAGTATAAACCACGGCTGAGCCTTATTTATTTGTTAAATAATTAGAGTGTAATAGATCGTAATAGTCGCGTAGAGACAATAAAAAACAAAAGAGCCAAAGTGTAATAGCGATAAATACGCTAAAGTGTGTTTCACGGGTTAATGAWAACCACTCTAGTTAGCAKAAACTATTTCTTTTTAGCYGAGTTTGAATACATGACTCGAAACACMAGGAACACTGCTGCAATCCTGAAGCAAAACCTCGATAGGATGCTAGAATACACTTGCTCTGGTATCAATTCTACATGTAACATGACTAACGTGGATCTAAGGGCTAGAGCAATCAATCCGAAACACGCAGGTGGACTRGATATTGTATTTGTATTCGACGCYTCAAGTAGCATCAACAAACTAGACTTCAAACTTGGAATACGGTTCGCTCAAGAGTTAGTTAAACAACTTGGGTCAACGTGGAAGTATGTAATATATGTGATCTTTTTGTTATTTTAACTCATTAATATTGATTAATAACTTATCATAATCAATAGTCACTCATAATTTGTAATAATAAATTCAGAGTTCAAATTCTCGACCAACAGACCTGGAGGAACTCACGTAGCTGCCTTGACGTATGGCACCAAACCTCAGATGGAATTCAATCTTGGTGATGCGTCTACAGACTCTGCTGATAAAGTTATACGTCAACTTGATAAAATAGATCGACTCGGAGGTGGAACTGCATCACAACCCGCTTTGGACATGGTAAAAACATTAGTTGTTCCTCAGACTCGTGAAGGAAGCCAGAAAACCTTGTTTTTTATCACAGATGGCCGCTCCAACATCGGTGGCAGCCCAAGGAAGGCTGCTGCATATCTTCGTGAGAAGAAAGACTTTGAGATTTACGCCGTTGGAGTTGGTAAGCAAGTGAGACACAGAGAGTTAATGTCAATCGCTTCACATCCTGAGGATAAACATGTACTTGTTGTGAAAGATTACGGAGAACTACCGAAAATGGTCCGACAGGCAGTCGATATCAAGATTGGTAAGAATCGTGCATAGTTTCAATGCCCTCGTCAAAAAAGCGTTTATACGTGAAGAGTTACATTTCGAGAGTGACTTTCAAATAATACACTCCCATGTCCACGATGGCAAACCACCAACAAAATCACTCTTATTTGTAGTATCGTGTACTAACTGACCAATCAGACCTAATCATACAAGCAGCCGTATTTTATGTCATGGTCTCATTGACCAGTAACCTCTACGATTAGTCACATAGTGGTTTGAGTTTCTATAGAGTGAACTTTAAGACAAGGATCAAACTCAACGTTGTTTCCTAGACGACGAGACAGCATTAAGTGTATTTTCAATGAAGATCCCACCATGAACACCTGACTCATGTTTTTATTCACATTTTTTAATCTTTTCAGTGTGGAACATTGCATGACCCATGTTTTTTTCCCTGTCTCTTTAGATTACACACCATGCGGTGTAAGTCCAACCTCGTTTAGAGCCAGAATGGTTGGAGGGAACAAAGCTGGCCGTGGGACCTGGCCTTGGCAAGTTGGAATTCATAATCTTAACTTGAAGGGTAAGCGCTTGGGTTCTCCACCGCTTTGTGTTGTAATTTGGAGCTTAGATACTAAACAAGGAGCGAACTGTCTACAAGCAACTGGAAACTAGTTGACCAACTAACTCAACCAGTCTTCTTATTTTGGGATACGAAGAGACTTTAGGTTCATGAATGTTTTGGGATTTTTAATTTCGTGTGGGTCTTTCTGAACTCAGTGGTCCCCTTTTCTCCAACCAGCATCACGTCATGACAACTCTCTTGCAAGGATATATTCTCATACATTATCGATATTTTCCAGGAAATCTCGCCCTGAAATGTGGTGGAGCATTGATTGGAAAACAATGGGTTCTAACAGCAGGGCATTGTTTTTATGGAATAAATGAAATCACAAAAAAAACAGAGAGGCAAATTATTCCACCATCAATGTAAGTAAATGAAAAGAACTTACACTATTTCAACCTCGTAAGATTTTAACCAGGCAATGCGCAGAGAGAATAAACAAACTATCAAGGTGTCAGGCTGAGGTAGAAGGAAAGAGGGTAAACGTACCTACAAGCACAGTGCTTCTCATAAAGAGAGGGTGCGATAAACAAGTCGAGACTAAGATCTCATGGATCCTGAACGTCCTACTTAAAGAATCATAACCAACCGCCGTACCTTGCGCGCTCGTGTTATTGTTTACATACGTTTAAATGCGTCAAGCATACAATAGATTATAGATTGATAGTACCTGTGTAGTACTTGGTTAATGGTATTTCTGTCCAAACTGAAAGGACGGAAGACGATTCACGCTCACTTAATGAAATCCTACGAATCCGCCATTTTCGTGTCCACCTAAAATGGCGCTTCGGCTCGCAAGGTACGGCGGTTGGTTATGATTCTTTAGACTCAACGTTTGTGTATATTTTATAGATACACCGTTAAAGTAGGTGATTATCACCTGAAAGTCAAAGAACCAGCCCAGGTCGACCTTGAAGCTGAAGCGATTTATATCCATCAAAGCTATAGGCATCACCCATTTTTTGAGAACGATATTGCACTCATTAAACTTAGAGAAGAAGTGAAGCTAGGTCCGTTCGTTCGAACTGTATGTTTACCAAAGAAAGGTGAAAATTTACTGCAGCCAGGCAATCATGGTTATGTGGCAGGGTGGGGTGCAACACAGGTTCTTCAACGAGGTCAAGACGCACTCCCCAATAAAGTGAATTCACAGGTATTACTGCATTCAGCGTTCAAGGTACAAAGCAACGTAACCTGTAAAGATGCAACAAAAGAATTCTTCAACCCTTCCGTAACCTTCTGCGCGGGAGATGGAAAGGGCGGCAACGACACGTGCACAGGTGACTCCGGCGGTAGCTTTGTCAGAGAGTCAAAACAAAGCGACGGGAAATGGCGATGGGTCTCCACAGGGTTGGTATCGTGGGGGGAGGGCTGCGGATTGAAAAACAAATATGGATATTACACACGAGTGGAGCCATTTGTAAACTGGATCAAGGAAACTATACAAAAAGACCGCGAAGAATCGGAAAAATGATTAAACAATTATATTTNGTTTTTCAAGGGACTAACACGTTGCCTCTCAATCACCATTTTATAATGATTTCAACAAAAAGTCAGTCTCGTTCTGAATTGTTTCCCACGTTTCATGCACGTGCCGTTCTTCAGTGTTGAAAGTTCCGCCATGAAATCGTACAACAGTCTGGTTTTTAAACAGAACAGCAGACAAAGATAACTTTCCTGAACTGTTGATCCTTTTCGCCAAATTCTTGGTCAACTCATCATCCCCCTAAGTTGTAAAACAACGTGTTAGGATGTAATAAATCAAAGATTCGTGAGCAATGTTCAGTATCAGATGTTGAGATGTTGAACCATAATGTAGTATCACCTTCAACCTAAAACACACCAATCCTAGATTAGGTTTTCTTGGCCAGAACTCAAAGCGGTCATCTTTCTCAACCAAGCTTTCAAATAACTTTGTTCTTTCTATATTCTGTAATACAAGAAGATATTGAATATAAGCGCATCGATGTGACATTCAATAACTTTCACTACAACTATTTCAATACCTTTCTTACGTGGCGTTGTAGTCCTTCAACTCCGAAAGATCTCAGTACAAACCAAAGTTTTAATGAACGAAAGCGTCTACCGAGAGGAATCTGCCATTTCTACAATAGAAGAAATGTTAATGTCATCTTGAAAAAATTTTGATTAAGTAAAAAAAATCATGAGTAATACGAACTCACCCTAAAATCTGTCACGATACCTGYAACAGATAATAGTATAGAAATGAAAATCCACCGAGAATAAAAACACATGTTGCTTAAATAAATAAAGTTTGACGCTTAGCTTCTCATCATATTTACACCTACTTGCAGAAACGTTGTCATAGAAAATAGAACATTCKAATTTAGTAAAAAGGAATAAATTAAAACAAGACAAAAGAAAGCGTTCAGTCTCAGTGATCTTCTTTTGTCTTTTTAATTTATTCCTTTTTACTAAAATACAAATGTCCTATTTTTTTATGACAACGTTTTCGCAAGTAGGTGTACCTGTATCATCATTCTTGAAATAAGATCTATCAACGCTGAGCGCATTCATAAGGKCGCCCCTGTCTTTCACCCTAAGAAAAGTAAACTTAGCAAGTTAGCCCATAGACCACCCAACGAATGTGCACGCTTTTATGTAATCGGCGCGCGCTCTTAGCAAAATGTGGGTTGCCTGTGGTATTACGTGATCTCCTGCGCCTCAACCTCAAGCGAGCAGAGTAGCCCTGGGAACGAGGCTGCCTGCCTCGCGGGATCAAAAAGCATGACGTAATACACAGGTAATCCGCATTTTGCTAAAGAGCGCTCGCCGATAACAGTACTAGCGTTAATGCGTGCGCATTCGTTCATTTCCTTATCAAGCAATAGTTGGACGGCTTATGGTTAGCCAGACTAACCGACCAACTCGCAAAACAATCTTGTCGCTTACCAAAGAGGAGCRCAGTCAAAGTTGGTCAACATCAGCTTATGACAATTGAAATTGAAGGCGTCTGCAAACTGTATAACATACAGTACATTATCATACAATACCAACTTTTTCTRTTAAAGAAAGTATATTACCTCCATCCCTTTGGTGTACTGTCTGAATTCAGGACATAGAAAGAATGTCCCTGCATAAGCAGCATCCACATGTAGCCATATATTCCATTTTTTGCCTAAAATAACAAGAGAATCCATGTATTCTACAATTTATCACTTTGCATCAAAAAACTAAAAAAGTAACAACTACAACAGCAACAATCCCGCAGCCCAGTAAGAGTAAGACTCTGGTGTAAAAGATAATTAACTAGTTGGTAACTTTTAAGAACTGGCCAGGAAGACAGACCAACCACACAATAATACTTACAAATTGGACCAATTTCTTCCAAGTTATCAAAGGAACAAGCAATTGTAGTGCCCAGATTTGCACAGAACTAAAACAATAAACAAACAAACAGCAATAAGAGAATAAATTCTTACATATTAACTAAAAATAATAATGACATAAACAAACAAATATAAAAGCATAAAAAATACTAAAATACTTACAAAAAATGGATGCAATCCAGCTTTGAYATCAGCCTGGTGGATAACATAATTATTTCTAAACTAATTGATTATACAGGAAATACTGTATTCGCAGGCGGTTTTCCATTGTCTGAACTCTTATTGACAATGAAATTGACATCAAAAATGCTCAAAACTCAAGTGGCACCACGAGCGTAAGCGAATTGTTTTTTACCATAAAAAAAAGCTGAAAACAAAGTAAAACTTCCAAAAAAAGACCATTTCTAGCGCGTGCCAGCTCCGTACGCGAGCGATTTGTCATTTCATCGGTCTGTCCTAGGTTTGACAATGGCTCTCGACCAATCAATGCACGAGAATTCTACAAGTTATGGTAAAAAGCTATATAGATCATGGTTGATTTAGTATGTGACCTATATCAGTGTCATCATCATCATAATTTGCTATTATTCCATCACTATCGTCAACAATGCTGAGGCTCTCACTTCAATTGCTTTGGTTAACAAGTCCTTGTCAATCACTCCTTGGTCATCAGTTTCAATCAGTCGTAGCTCAATACAGTTGATCAATTTTGCCTTTTCTATGCAAGCATGAGTCTAAAGATACAAAAATGTGATTAATTCAAATATTATTTTTAGCATTGTTTACATCATAATTTTCAGGGCCCTACTGGGGAAAATGCTCCAACGATGTGGGCTCCCTGGACAAATACTATTAAATATTATATAATAGTCTCCTTCACGGTTACCTGCGCCATCTTGAAAGGTAGCCATGCCTTTGCATCAAAGCGAGATCACTGTTGAGCGTGCAATGATAGATACCTGTGAATAATTGTCTGTAGGTGTGAAAAAAGGTTTCTATCATTGCAATCTCAACGGTCGTCTCGCTTCGATGCAAAGGYACGGCTACCTTTCAAGATGGYGCAGGTAACCGTGAAGGAGACTATTGTGAAGCTAAGATGAACAGTTTAAAGTAATCTATTATTACCAGTTGAGAAGCATAAGCCACAAGCTTGCCAAGTAATGCAGACTCTGGTTCATTGGGATGTTTTTCTTTAAGATAATCAAGGGATTTTCTACGAGCAGCCAACATAGAAACAACTACACACTCTGTTGCAGTTCCCTGTTGATAGAGATAAATKGCTTGAAAAACATTAAGCARCAAAGACTTTTCAAGTCAAATGATGTGCCGTAAATCAATCTTCATTCATCCAAATTATTGTTACTCGTAAAACAATAAAAGCAAWCAGAATCAACCAATCAACCATTGTAGAAGTCCATCAATCAAGCATTCAAGAGTTAGTCATTTAATTAATCCCTGAATCTATCATACGTATGAATCAATCAATCTATCTATTCTATTGGTCAACAATATTGACAATTTATAACAGGACAAATATTTCACTACCTGGATTACTCCACCTCCTCTTTTGCCATCACTTCCCTGATCTGGATTCATAGCTATGAACTCTTTAGGTAAATCCAACATCTTAGCTATAAAACAAACTTTCTTTCATTGGCTAGCTTTCAGATTGATTGAGCCATAATACTCAATGACTGACTATCAACTGACTGAATGACGGACAAAACGTCTGTCTAAATGACAGACAGTTCGTCTGTCTGAGTGACWCAATGACTGTTTTACTGTTGACAGGCAGGCAAGTGTTAGTCATAAAGTCAATAACWCAGCTTATATTCTGTACAGATAATTTGATTGACAAAAATTATTACCTAACCAATCCAGCACTACTATCTCAAGTTCAGTGGATGAAGGATTCACATCCTACAAATAAGATGTGATTATTTTACAAATAAAATTGCTCAATTTAAACTAATGAATATTTGGTTTCATCAGACAGTAAGACAGAATGCATCAAGATCTTCCATTGCACAATAAAAGCAACTTTGTTTTTCCCAGAAGCTATTGTAAAGAGTTTTTATGAAGTATAACCATTTGCATTAAAAAATACTAAAATATTCAAAATCTAATAAAATCTATAATTTACCCAAGAAAATCCAACGCCTGCTGTTGCCGCACTAAGAAGCTCACCAAGAATAGATGGATATGAAGCTCCACTGGGATAAAATGCATGGAATGTTGGACTATTCCACTGATAAATCTACATGTACCAGCAATTATAAAACTCATTAATATTCATAAGGCAAAACACAATAGAAATCATAGCCCATGAAGAGAGTTGTATATTACATACAGATTTCTTGTTCATTTGCATAAACTTTAACTCTGATTTTCTCGGTCAGATTGACTTTTTTTCCAAAAGTTTCTTTAAAACCTGAGCTAGTTTACCTCAACGTTTCATAAGTAATATACAATATTCGCGGGCGATCTGTATGAGGTTTAAAACAGCTCGCTTTCAGCTCGCTGTTTTAAATCCTCATACAGATCGCCCGCTCATATTGTATATATTACTTAAAACACGTGTCAATTAAAATTTCAATAGATCTTTAATGATATTCATAAAGACGTGACGTGGTACTCTAAAGTTTAAACCCTTTTCCTATACCTACCCCAGGCATAATTTGACTTTCATAATCTKTAAAAATCTTAGAGAAATCTTCGCCCTGTTGAGGTGAAGATGAAGGAAGAGTATCAAGTAGAAATCCTGGTTTAACATCGGGTATTACTCGAAGTTTCTCRATATTATCAAAATAATCGGCGATGAAGTCGATCATTTGCTTCCCTGCTTCACGGAATTGTTTGCTATCCATATTGATGCTTTTAAAAACGCAAAATAAAACGCRCTAGAACTAAAATTTAAACTGAAATATCAAGAAATATCGAAAAGTGATACAGCTAGGGACAGCGCTTGACCCAACCAAAAATTTAGTCTGGGAGAGTCAGTCTGGGACCTACTACTGTATTACCAGGAACGCCTTGTACATTTTCAAGGCATGAATATACCTGGGAACTAAACTTCGACCGTGTGCCGTAACGAGCACTTACCACTATCACGCCAAAATCTATGTCACGCTGAAGTTTGTTTTGTTATTTACCGGGCAAAAGCAATACATATAAAGAAAATATTGTAAATAAAAAATGACCTTGGGTGTATGGATGCATTGTGCACATATAATACTCTTGAGAGATGAAACGTTTTCAGTATACTTCATTTTTAGAGATCTTATTTTGCAGCCTTGACAGGACAATTATTAAATGTTRCTTGACTTTTTTGGTTGGTGGATTTTCATTAGGGTGACATTAATCATTGTCTGGTACAATAAGGACAGCGGTTAAAATTCCGCGAATGAATTTCACGGCAAAAAACRCTACGCCGCCCCTATTCAGGAAACTAGTAAACTTTTTTTATTATCCACTATYTTTGAGTTGGATATAGGGCACACTTTCAGTTGTAGCGCCCCTACATCATCAAGAACGATTTGACATTTTCTCACGGCTCCAGTCTGCCAGAGATCGATATTCCGTGTTGATGTTATTGTTATTGGTAAAGTATTGGTATTCCGTTTGAAAGTATTGTCTACTTGACTGATGACACTCAAAAGCTTCCTTAACGTTCTTATGATACTAAAAAGCGCCTGAAATACGTAATACCGTATTTGAGTTGAGTTGAAGGTCGGAAATTAACAGCCATAAGCAGAACTTTCTCAGTATAAGACCGTCACCTGGTAAAGAGAAAGTTAAGATTTCAGAAAGGTAGGCTATTAATCTGTTGCTAGAAGAGTTGCTGA